TCCCAGACGCAACCGCTCCGTTCCCGTCGCAACCTGCTAGACCCCCGTTCACCCCCGCTGTCACACGGTTACATCATTAGCGACACCCTGCCACATATTTACTTGTTGACTAAATAATAAACACTGCAAAACGTTGAGCTGTCTCTGTTGTGGTTATCTGCAATCGAGTCCGATCTAGCTATCGGCCCGTGGCCATTGTGACACTCAGGATATGTATCTGAAGAGAAGATGGAAACAGGCTCAGTACATCTCAGATCTTTGGAAACGATGGCTACGTGAATAGTCGTCTTGGTTACAGGAGAGACAAAAATGGAACCAAAAGAAGAAGAATCTAAAACCTGGAGATAGTCATAATAATGGATTCCTCTGCACCACGTGGTTCCTGGCCACTTGGGAGAGTTCTGGAAACCATTCGTGACAAAAATGGACTTGTACGATCTGTACGTTTAAAAACAAAGACTAACATTCTTGAAAGACCTGTAACTAAACGTCTTGATGCATCTCAATCATCCAGGTAAATAAATCTCCAAAAGTTGATTCTGTTCATCTGGACGTAGCGTTTTGTGGGAGAAACGTTTCGTCATCATCAGGTGACGTCTTCAGTCTCAGCTGACTGCAGGTTTCAATCTTATAAACAGGACATTTGCATAATGACTGAAACCAGCCCACTGAAGGAACAATGGGCTGGGAGGTCAGTTCCTTAATCTTAATTATGCAAATTCTCATGACCAGCAAGTCACCTGGATGATGACGAAACGTTTCTCCCACAAAACGCTACGTCCAGATGAACAGAATCAACTTTTGGAGACCTGTAACTAAACTTTCCCTGTTACATGAGACTGTAGTGTAAAAGTCTATTTAAATGCTCTGTTTACTTTATTTATGTGTATATGTCTAAAGTAGACTGTATTAGTGGCTCCTTATTTTCTTTGTGATTAGAATTGCCATGTCTGATTGTAATTAGGGGCCAGGGTGTAGGAGGCATTGTTGGGTTAATACCTTATGTTGCCACCAGAGGTCACCGTTTTCAGTTTTCTGTAGGGTAGGTTTATGTAAGGTTTGTAAGGTACACGCATGTAATCAGCGTCAGGTGTGTTGTTAATCATAAGAAGGCAAACAGTTAAAATGATGCTGGAATAAAGATCAAAAGGACAAGATAAGTACTGCTGGATTTATTGGACTGTTCAGTTAATTCATGCATACCACTGACATCGCGTCACGCCCATTAGCAAACACCTCAGTGGCTTCAAGCGTGGACTTAGCCTCTAAAGAAAGCAACAGGCCTTTCAGCCCAGTTCTATTTTTCTGCATTCGCCATCATATAAAACTGAATCAAAGCCTCTTTTTAAAACTTGTTTTATTAGTTTTAATCTTTTAATTTTATGCACATTGCATCAAGCAAAAATAAAATTATATGCAACAGTCTTTGACACCTGTTGAGCAGGAGTGGGGTGGGTGGAGGTTTGCCCACGGTGGTCATGTCAGTGGGGGGATCTGGGGGTTTCTCTGTGAATGTCACGTTCCCGTGGCAGCGTGCTCGCTGCTCGCACAGATTTGAAGTTTTTTTGCAGAGTGTACTAATATTTTTATCACTTTTTACATAGTGTGAGTACTTCCACGCTTTACACGCTGCACGGTCGTACTCATTGTCATGTGACACTCTCACAAACACAGTCACGGTTTAGTAATGCAGTAACCCAGCGTGCTTACAGCAAAGTAAGTGATTAATTACTTTTTTTGCAATTGCAATCCCCTACATTACTCATTACTTGAATCTCTGTGACTTAGCATTAGCCACTGATGCAGCTAGCTCGTTGACCTTGAAGACCTTGGGCGATGTAAGCCAGATGTTAACAGATGTAGTTATGTTCATGTCGAAAGCCTTAGACATGAAAAAACATAACCACAAGCAAATCATCTTATTTTTAGTCTGTTTCACCGTAGCGTATATCAGGATCAGGATGTGGGTGTACCATGAGTGGATCAGAGCGCTTCAAAACAGGACGTTCTCCAGTTTTTTCAGTACCAAAGTGAAGCACGTGATGAAACTGTACATCCACTGGTGTACAGCAACTATACCACTGTACTACTGTACTTAGTATTATAGCACAAATCACCTCTGTGATAGTGATTCTGAATGTATTCAGTGACTCTATTAAGCAGAATCAGACTATGATAAAAACAAACCAGCTGATTGTTGTTTAGCTGTGCTGTAAAACAACTGCACAGACTTTGAAGTATATTTAATGTGTAACATTTGTACTTATTATGTACTTTATTTTTACTTAGACTTTATATAAGTGCAGGCCTGAGCAGCAGCTACGAGGATGCTGTGTAATATAAACTTTATAAACTGGAAATTTGTGTTTGGTCATTTCTTAGTTTATCATCAAATCCTGTAGGAAGTGTATTTGCCATAAATGGTGCCATGTTTGTAAGAAACATGTGTTTGTGGGTTGATGCTGAGGCTGTGTGTGGTTCTTCCACATGTGACTGTTTGTTCAATGAACAGACAAACAGCAGCAGCTAACAGAAGGACACAGGAGAGCTTACGAGTCAGCATGTCTTCAACAACCATCACAATCAAAGATGAGCTGCACTCACTCATCCACTCAGGCTGACTCCTTTCATAAGGTTTTACAGCTGGACGCTGCTCACAGACAGGAAATGTGTGGATGTGGTCCAGAGTCACTCCAGATGAGTGATGGAAGTAAACATGTAACATGTAACTGACTGTAAATCGACAACGTGAAGCGATCGAGGCGACCGTCCTGCTGATTTGGCACCAAAACAAATCAAACTGAATATGTTGAAATGCTGCAGCCATTATGGGTCAGATGTGTCTGCCCTCTGCTGGCTGACTGACCTCTGACCTCTGCTGGCTGACTGAACCATAGCAGCCACTGCAGCCACTGCAGCTAGCATTAAACCACTGAAGCCAGCTGACTGTGATCTGCAGTCTGCTGACATTTAGCAGTAAAAACTTCACACGCTCTAATTTGAAAGCAGACGTGAAACACTACAAGTGTTTACTGTAACACAGTGATTCCTAACCATGGGCCAATGAACCACGAGCCACACCTGTTTGTAGCTTTACACCTGTGGGCCGCGAGGGCCGTGTGACATCAGAAGGCATTAACTGAAGACAGCATCCATCAAGATCTTAGTGCAGCTTCCCACTGCTTGGTGGGAGTTGTTTGGTAAAACCAGTGCAGGAGTGAGGAGAAGAGGGAGCAGGTCTTCTGTGTGTAACAAGTATCACAGTGTGTTTGAAGGTGACAGACGTAACTACATATTTATACACCACATATACAGTGTGTACTCCTTATGTGCATTAAATGTGGAGCATGCATTTCTACATCACCCTAAAATGACACATGTGTTGCCATAGCAGCCCATCCTGCACCTGTCACATCCACCCTCTGTGTGTTCCTCCATCTTCAGCTCTGCACCAGCAGCTCAGCATCTGCTCTGTGTAACGTGCTGCCATGACACGGCTACCTGTCACCACACACGCCATGCTGCTGTGCACTCTGCTGTGTGCAGCGCTCAGTTATCTATGCAGCTGCAGTAACCTCTGTCATGCATCAAGGCTAACCTGCCGCACTGGGACTCATGTGGTCCACCAGTGAGTACCAGTAACAGAGAGACAGTCGGTGACTCACGTTCACGTATGTGGACTCGTCCTCGTCCACTCGCTGTGTCAGAAGCACTGTGCAGGCCTGTGAGAAACAGAGAGGACACAGATTAATGCACTTTGTATAGTTTGTCAGTTTACACACAGCTTCTGTTCAGCTCGTGCAGAAGCCTGGAGATGCCTGGAGACGCCTGGAGAAGCCTGGAGAAGCATGGAGAAGCCTGGAGAAGCATGGAGAAGCCTGGAGAAGCCTGGAGAAGCCTGGAGAAGCCTGGAGAAGCCTGGAGAAGCATGGAGAAGCCTGGAGAAGCCTGGAGAAGCCTGGAGAAGCATGGAGAAGCCTGGAGAAGCATGGAGAAGCCTGGAGAAGCCT